TGTGTGACACTGGTTTTTTTCTACTTCGTGCTTATACATGTACCCACTACTTTTTTTTTTTGTTTACCGGATCTGTTGTGAATACCTGCTCGCTGGTTGACTGAGCAAGTCCAGTAGGTTCTGAAACTTCTAGTTTGCACAAGTTATATTCATTCTTCCTCAGTGTGCCCTGTAATTCTGTTCTTAAGGTTAATGTCTACTGTACTGCCATGGACTTCAGAGTTTAGTGATAGGTAGTTCCTCTTTTAGAAACTTGTATGGCATGAGCCATCTTCTAATTCTCTAGTACAAAGTGAACTCTAAATGGAAGCTTAAATAACATACTGATTGATTTAGTTCAAAAAGTGGGCTTTAGAAAGCTGTTAATACTTTTGGTTAGTGCTTGTTGGTTGATCTGTTCTTTGATCCTTTCAACTGATGCTTAAGTGCAGAAATCTCTTAAAGATTCCTCTAGTGCAAGTATAAGTTAAAAAAGAAAAAAAACCCCAAAAGGTATGTTTTCACTACACTTTTTTAGGTGGTTCTTCTACATAAACTGATGGACTTGGGACCATAGACTCTCATGTATGCCTTTTTCATGAGCAGAGCAAGAGTAGTTAACTTTCTATACCATTGGTTGTTCTTCAAACTTAATTTTTTGGCTTGCCATGTTGTATTGTGATTAACAGAAGTCATGATCAATTTTATTTTTCTTGTCTGTACATGACCTCAGCTTTTTGAAAAATGCTTTACTATGTCTCATATCCTCCTTGTTTTGATCATCTTAAAATATTTTGTATATGTCGTCTTTTTAGCCTACGATGATCTCTTTTATATAATATCTTGCTTTCTAGAAAGATTTTATTCTTAACTGCTTTTTTTACTTGTTTTAACAAATACCTCAGTGTTCCCTAGTTGCAATGCTGAAACAATTGCAACAGTCATAGGTGGGTTTTTTTTGCTTATCTTCTTGCAAGGATGATGAAACTAAGTCAACTGAGGTTATTGACAGTATCTTGGCAAATCTGCTCCTATGTGCTGCTGAGAACCAGGTGAAGAGTTGCTTTCTCTCCTGTGGCTTCCTGGATTAGCCACTCCATGGCACTCACTACTAGTGTATGAAAATATAGCTCAGGTATCACCTCCTGGATTACAGCTTGCGCTAATTGAAACCTGTTAGAATTAACAGCATTTTCTGCCTCTCTGTTCTCCTGTGATGTCCCTGTTTTCCTTTGTAGCTGGTGGTCAATAATCACTGTGTAAATCATTGTTGTTTCTGTATTCTGAATGCTGCTTGCAGTTCTCTTAACCTATTTTAAAACATCTAGAGCCTGGAAAAAGTGTGTAAGGAAAAGGTGACAAAGATGAGCAGAGAGCAGAATAATTCCTGACCAGGAGCAAATCTGGGAGAGAGATGAGAAGAAACCTGAGGTCTCTAAGTCACGAGTCCAAACAAAGGGATTTGTCTAAGAAGCGAATATTCATTTCTCACAACACAAAAACTAAAGGCATGAAATGAAAGTATCAAGCAGGAGGTCTTAATCCATCAGTTGTACTTGTATGATGCTCTCTGTTGTGGAAACCAAAAGCTAGAGATGTACGAAAGGATTAGACAGATTAACAGTGACTACTGGGTTTTGGTGCCTGGAAGCAATTTTTGGCTAAGAAATTTTTTTAATTTTTAGAAGCTGGGAGTATATGCAAATGAAGAATCATTGTAGGTTTGCCTTGTTCTCTGTACTTTTTCCCTTCAGCATTTGCTACCAGCTGCTCTTCTTACTGGCTTACACTGGAAGGATTGGCATAGGCTTCAAGGATGAGTTTGTATCTTTCTCAGATGTGGGGAGCAGGAGACAATGGGTTGTGGTAACCCAAGCAAAATGATGAGAAACAACAAATGAAGGAAAGAATTTAAATTTATAGATTCTACTAATAGAAGATGATAACCTGTCTGATGACATCTTCCATTTTTTATCTCTTGCATCTAGTAGTCAGGAGCATTCAAGGATAGGTAGACACTGGTGGCACTCTGCTCGGAAGTGTGATGAGACAAAGAACCAGGAATAGGCTTCACAGCTGCCAGATGCATTTATTCAACTTTCTTCTCATGTTGCTGTGGATACTGGCTGTTGTTCCTATTGACTTTTTTTTCGGTTCAGAAGAGGCATGTGAGGCTTATCCTAAAAGGTCCTGCTTTATTTAACAGCACCTTTTTAAGAATGTCTGGAAGTGTCACTGTACTAGAGACCAAACTGAGTAGCAAATGTAAAGTGGTTTAAAAAAGAGAGTGGGCAGAAGAATGTCTGTAGAGTCAAAACAAAGCAAAATCATAGGTGTACACTAAACAGGGGCACCTTGGGGACTGTATTTCTCTGGAGTTTTTCAGAGAGTCAGTAGACTCTTTAACTTAAAGTTCCTTCCACCAGAACAGATTTTGAGGGGTGATGGTTTCAGGGAACAGAAATACTTTCCAGAATTTTTCTCAGTGCTGGGGTAGAAAGGTGCTTTCAATGTATAACAGTCTTGGGCTAGAAGTGTTGTCAAGCACATAATAGCAGGCTAGTTCAGCTAAGCTGGCACTACTTTCCTTTGAGCCCACTGCTGCATTTGGTTCTCTCTTCTCCGCTTAACCAGTGCTGAAAATAAACAAGATGTTATTTTTTATGATCTAGAAAGACCATGAACTGTCCTCCAGTTCAGTTTGATCATCTAAAACTTCTATCAATGTTATAATGAATCCATATTCTGTTTGCATCCTGTTGTTAGAGTTCTGGTGAGAGGTGGGGTTTTTTGTTGTTGTTTTGTTTTTTCCCAGTGATTGAAGGTGCTGCTGCTCCCAGCTGTCTGCTGCCTCCCTGTGCTGGAAGCTGCAGTGTGTCCTTATGTCTGTTATTTCTGTCTGCTCAGTGCATTAGCTTAAAATTCTAGTGAGAGTGGCGTTTTGGCTAACCCTTTGGACTGTGGGTTGGACCTGTGTGTTTCCTTCTCATATTTGTTGCTGGAATAAGAGCAGAGAAGAGGTTAATGTGCTGCAGGAGGAAAACACATACTAAGCTACTGCAACTGGTTATGCTGTGAATGAATCGGTCCCTTCTAATTAAGAGGTGCACTCTCTGGTTCTCTTTTTACAAACAGATTCTGAAACAGCTTTCATCATGCAATTTTTAGCTCCATCCAGCTATATTCTCTCTACACAGGAATTTTATTAAGTGTTTATTCTCTGTTCAGAATACTGTTGTTTTGGTGGTGTTAAACTCGGTATTGTCTGTAATGCCTCAAAAGCATAAATTATTTACTGTCTGTTTTAAGTGTTGCACCAGCAACAGCTTTTTGTGACAATATTCACAAAAACCTAGGGAAAAGGGCTTTCTTGCTTTGTACCTTGACATGCAATTCCAGTTTATGCCATGGAGTACTGGGAAGGGATTTGTCCTTGTGTCTTGCACTGTGATTTAGTGTGTCTCTCTGAGCCTACAGCAATACAGCCCCAAGTTCTTGGTAGATGTCCTAGGGCAAGGATTTTAGGACATTTAAGAGTTGAAGGGCAGATGGTCTAAAGAAGGGCGGCATTAGAGGAGGAGTGTTGTAGATGCAGTACCTGATGGTGCTGAATCAGTGCTTGGCCTTTGGGCAATTGTATTTTGCATTGCAATTTGCAAATACTGTATTTTCACTCAAGGGTCATCTATAATGAAAGGCTTTACAGCCTTAAAATCTCCCCTCCCCCGCCTTGGCATTGTGGAGTGCTATATGAAAGTTTAGCATAGTCATGGTACGCTTCTTGCTAAATTTTGTAACTGATAATACAGAGTTGTGTTGGCTTGTATCATAGACAACCTCTGGCTGTCAGCTATGGTGGGGGTGAACCCAAACCAAAACTTAAATTGAATAAAGTTTGAAAGAATTAATTCTTTAAAGAAAATAAGTAAGATTGCATGGATAGACAGCCAAGTTGTTTCTGGTGTGTGGTATGCTTGTAAACTAAGGCTTCTCAGCCCTCATACTGTCATATTTTAGTTAATTTCAGAAATTTTATGAGAATATAGTCTATCAGGAACTTAATTATATCCTGACTGCTTTTAATCAGTCTTTTTGAAGACCAGAAGGTTGAGTCTGTCATTGGTGCCACTCTGATGTTGAAACAGGCGCTCCCAGGAATAGCACAGTTTGCTTTCTTGTTTCTACATCTTATGCCTTGTTATGAAATTTCTCTTCCTCAAGTTGTTACATTCTGCTTTTAGCTCTTCTCACTCCCCGATTGCTCTGTTTCTGAATTTACATTAGTAATAGTTGTTCTGGTATCCTTTCATAGAACCAGTAGCAGCAATCTTATATGGTCTTGATATTTTATCTATCTGATATACCTTTCAAATAATCTTACATTCTAAAAAAAAAAAAAAAAAGGAAGATTTTGAGGTGCCTTGCTGCAGTCTGAATAGCTGATTATATAATATATTGACTTGAGACAGTCTGTAGATCCTTATCCTCTGAGGTAGAGAACAGGAGTGGAAGCTCATCTCTGAACAGTTCAAGTTTTTGCAGTTCATCTAGTTTCAGGTTCTTTTTAGCTTTATAGTGCAAGAGCAGCAGAATCGAATTGGGCCTCAGATCTGTATTCCACAAAGTAAGTCTATCACCATTTATCTTTAAGCAATATTCCTGTGTTTTTTTTTTTTAAAAAAAAATCTCCCAAAGCAGCAGTATTGGAAATGAGGGTGAAAAATTCAAGGTCTGATTGTAGGGTAACCGATCTGCTTCGGTTTATCTCTTTGGAAGACTTGCACACTTCATACATAGTATATTTTGTTATGTCCCACTGGGAATAAAAATGAACTCTTGTCTTTGGGACTAGATCACATCTAATTGTAGGTGTATATTAATTGAAAATGTTCAACATAAAATGTTCTTAACAGAAATCATATCATACACCCTTTTTTCAAAGAAAGGTATGTGAAAGCTGGTGCTATGTTTCAGTTCTTTGATAGTCTTTGTTAGTTGTTCTCATATCTGAATACTTTTTTCCCCTTAGGTGAGTGGAATCAAGAGTCTCTATGAGTCTGAACTTGCTGATGCTCGAAGAGTTCTGGATGAAACAGCCAAAGAGAGGGCTAGATTACAGATTGAAATAGGAAAACTGAGAGCAGAACTTGAGGAGTTCAATAAAAGGTAAGGAAAGTCCTGCATGGTGTGGGGTGTTTTTTGTTTGTGTTTTGTTGGTGTGTGTGGTTTGTTTTTTTTTTTTTTAAATTAGAATGGGCAATGTTTGCAGTGGGAATGATGCTATTGATGCTTCTTAAAATGCCTTTTGGAAGCATTGCAGATCAGTGAGAAGATACAGGCTTGTCGGAGGGAAAGTCCTCAGCTTGTTGGTACAGCTAGTCAGAGCAGATACAAATGTATTTGTAGATATAATATAGTGTGATTTGAGCAGTTCAGACATCTAGAGGCTGAAACGACCAGTCGTGCCTCCTTCTGTCCTATTGTACCTCTCCTTATGTGAGCATGCATAGGTGCAGCTGCTTGGTAAACTGGAGAAACTGATCTAGATAAAAGTTGACCCATCCAAGGAAGGTTGATTTTTAAACATTATCAATTTTATTGTCTGTTTTACTGTATTGACTGATGGCAGAAGTGAAGGAAGAGGATAAGGGTGGCCCTGAACAGTTTGGGAATATGGAAGCATTGTTACCTTGAAAACACATGAAGCTACAATGTGAGCGTGCTGGAAAAAGACCTTGTACTGACTACATTTTTAAAAACTGCTGTTCAGTCTGCAGCAGTTCAGGCCTAATAAACTGGCTACTGAAGCCAAATGTAATCCACTATTTCTGTTTCCCACTAGGGAGTTTTTGTAAACAAATACTGCTTAGCAGTTGAAAATTTTAAAATGAATATATGTGGTGGCAGAATTATTTTTTTGCTTCTGATCTAATTTTGATACCTATTTCAGTAGATAAGATTTGGGAGTTAGATCCTGAGCATGTCAGTATGTACGTCACCTGTACATGAACGCTGTTGGCCATAAAATTGCTTTTAATCCAGCACTGTCAGTACAGGCCTACTGTAAGTGTCCCATCTCTCTTCATTTGCATCTAAGTAGTTATAAAAGGAATGACCTGTTTCCTTCCCTTGTGTTTTTCTTCTGACTAGCTAGTTGATTTATGATGAAGTATTTCTTGTTTTCTCTGCAAACTTTGCTATTTTACTGGATCTTCATTTTCTGTGCTGGGCCTTTTTGTTCAAGTCAGTCATTGGAGATATTTTATGGACTTTGCCCCTAAAATAACTGTCCAAATATGAAATAGCTATAGTGGAAGCATCTCTATTTGAGTAAGTCACTGTAAAGCCTGTTGGACTTGGTGCACAGTTCATACCAGAAGATATGCCTGCATGTGGTCAGACGACCTGTGCGCTAAAATTTATGGACTTGGTTAGCTAGGCCTTTGTTAACTATGAAAAGATCCTATGGTAAATAGGTCAGAAGTAAACCTCTAAAGTTAAGTGAGATTAATACCACCCAGTCCTACTGTGATGTTCCTGTTGGGACTGATTTCCCTCTTAAAAGCCTTAGGCCATCAATGTTGGTGGTTTTTTCAGATAATACGTTTTGCGTGGCAGTCGGTGTTACACAGCCATCAAGGTTGCCTGTCTTGTCTCAGTGACAGCAAATACTCCACTTGCTTGGCTTTTAAAGCAAGCTACAAAAGAGCAGCAGCAGTAACTGGGAATTTGGTTCATCTCTCCTGGCCTGCAAGATGCTTATTTCTATATTTTGATTAAGGTATCCTTGTCAGAAGTGTCTTCACTTGGCAGCTAAATGAGGCTTTTGATAGTGCTAAGAGATTTTACAAATACCTTGTTGTAGATGTTGTGCACTTAAAGTGACAGAGATGGTATTTTCCCTGGGGTCATCTCCCTTGCCCTTTGGACAATTGAGTTGCCCCTTTCCAGTCACTTCAATGACTGGTTAATTCTGCCAGACTAATTTCAAACATTTTTTCTGTTTTCTGAGATAGACTAAATATGTGGAAAATATATCTGGTTTTCTCTCTGTTCTTACAGTTCATAGGAGTAGAATTGAATTCTTCCTTGGCTTGAAAGTTTCTTCTACCAGGTTGCTTCCAGTCCGTTGAGATGCTTGTAATGTACTTTGGAGTGTTCTCAGGGTGCCTAGCCTGGGTCACATGGAAAGTTATGCTTGTGATGTGGCCAGATTTTAAATGTGATTCTTGCAAATGCAGCTTTTAAAAGTCTGTTTGCCTCATTTGCATGGTGTACACTTGACACCTAGCTCAATTGCTCCCTGCCCATACTGAGAGTCAGATGGTGCTTCTCACAGGCCAAGCTGGCTTCAATACTTTGAGAACTGTGTATAGCGGAAGAGTAGGTTAGTGTGTAATTTTATGCTTGCTGTGATTACCTCAGTCTCTCTTTCAAGCTCATGACAGAGGAGAGTCTTAAGGATGCCAGCACACTCTAGCCAGGAGGGATCCCAGACATTGCCACTTCATTGTTTGCTTGGAATAGGTTGGGTTGCTGGGACAGGAGATGATAGACTTCTGTCTTGGGACGTCTCTCCTCTGGTCTCCCATATGAGAGAGGGAGAAGAAAAGGGATAGTTGCAATAGGCAGAGTAGAGAAAACATTGGCTTGAAAGAATATCTGGGAAATGTTTCTTCAACATTAGACTGAATTGAATTTTAGTTGCTGAGCCACAGGCTTGCAGGGCTTTTCTAGCTATAGGATCCAAATATAGCCAACCTACTGCTTCAGGAGCTGACTTCCCCTTTCTTTTTTCTCCTAAAGCCTGGGCTTGTGAACTTGGAAAGCCCACTGATGATGCTCCAGGGAGGCCACAGGGTGTGGCTGGGTGTGGTGACATCAGGCCTAATTTGTGTCCAAAGGAGTCTGAGGCTTACCCTGCTCTTAGTTTGTTCCTGAGGCTGTCTACTCCAATGGATTTGGGAAGCAGCTGACCAGCCTGCAGCAAGACCCTTGGTTGGTACACAAGGATTTGTGACAGGGCCTATAGTCTAGGAAAGAACATGGTTTGTCTATCAGTGCACTTCAGAACAAGCATTTATGCTTATGTCTTTCTGCAGCTTGTTCAGATACTGACAAATGATACTACCTCAGTATTCTGCATGAGTACAAATTCAGCTCGTGGGGTTTGGATGCCCTGGCACATATTTTGGTTATTTCAGATTTTTTTTTACTTACCATGTTACTGATGTTCTGACATTTTCTGGGTTTTTTTTAAAGTGCTTGGGATAATTGGACATCATCTTGCCTAGTAACTCAACGAGAAGCATCCCAAGGCATTTTCTAGAGCAGTTTGTGTTGGATTGGACGGAAGGTCCATCTAGCCTGGTAATCTGTCTCTGTTAGAAGCCACTCATAGACCTCTAGAGAAAGCGTATAAGAATGGAGCATGCATAACAACACTTTTCTGTAATACTCTTCCAGTCTTCAGCAATTCCCTTCAGCTAAGGGACTTCCTGAAGTCCACCTGGATTCTGTGTAGTAAGACCTAGCAAGAGGATTCTGAGCTTACCTACATTTTGTATGAAGAAAAACATGTTTTTTGAATGTGCCAGCCCAGTTCTATTTGTTCATTTATCCCCTAATTTTTGTATTCTCCTTCGTATCTCCTAAGATTTTTCTCTTCAGTGATGTCTGTCTTCAAGTGGAAACATCTTACCTACTTAGTTGCTCCTTCTACAGAAGCTGCTCTGTGCCTTCAATCAACCTTTTACCCTCTCTGTCATTTTTCCCATTTTAGTGTATCCTCTTGGGGAGGAATGCTGCAGAATTGGAACTTCAGCCGGTATTCAAGATGTAGTTATACTGTAACAGTGTTCAATGTCTTGTTCTATATTTTATTTACTAGTAATTTCTTAAATACAGTTGCATTTTGAGTGCTCCTGAGCTGCTGATGTGTGAAGAAAGGTAAGCTCCAGATAGTGTTTTACATCAGACTCAGAGATGTCTCCCAAGACCTGAGTTGCATGGATGCTAGAGAACCTAAAGTGTTTTGTGGTAACCAGATCTGGCATGGCCTCTTTGGGTAGAGGTGAGGTAAGGCCCTTGGAGCCCTGCTATGCAGGGTTCTTACCACTGCTTAACCCCCTTACCTTCCCTTTACAAAAGCCAAAGTGACTCTGAGTCTTCAAATTCTTCTGTGCTTATGCATGTGCCCACTACTTCTCTTTCTTGACACCTTTGTCTAATTTTACCCATACAAATATCAGGGTCTGAGTTTCTCCATATTTAATTTGTCATTTTCCTTCTTCTGACATATTGTCATTCTGGTCGGGTCCTGCCGAAGCTGCCTTATCTCTAGGCTGGTCAGCATTGGTTCCCTCAACATCTTTTAATAGGGTGTGTACTCCAGCTCTGACTGTCTTAGTTGTCTCTGCTGAACTTGCTCCAATTTATCAGTGTCTTAATTGCACTGTGGGGGGGGGTGGGGTGTGTCCATAACTATGCAATAATCGAGACACAAGTGATCTACTGAGTGCTCATCAGAGGGCATAATGACTTTCCGTGATCTACTAGCCATGTTCCTATTAATACAGCCCAGGATGCCTTTAGCCTTCTTTGCTTCTGTGCCCTGCTGGTTCATAGAATCATAGAATAGTTTGGCTTGGAAGAGACCTGTAAAAGTCTTCTAGTCCAGCCCCCTCTGTAATAAGCAGGGACGTCTTCAACTAGATCAGGTTGCTCAGAGCCCCATCCAACCTGACCTTGAATGTTTCCAGGGTGGGGCATCTACCACCTCTCTGGGTGACCTGTTCCAGTGTTTTACCACCCTCATTGTAAAAAAAATTTTTCCTTATATCTAGTCTGAATCTAACCCTCTTTTAGTTTAAAACCATTACCCCTTGTCCTATTGCAACAGGCCCTACTAAAAAGTCTGTCCCCATCTTTCTTATAAGCCCCCTTGAAGTATTGAAAGGCCGCAATAGCATCTCCCCGCAGCCTTCTCTTCTGCAGGCTGAACAACCCCAACTCTCTCAGCCTTTCTTCATAGGAGAGGTGTTCCAGTTCTCTGATCATTTTTTGTGGCCCTCCTCTGGACCTGCTCCAGCAAGTCCATGTCTTACTTGTACTGAGGACTCCAGAGCTGGATGCAGTACTCCAGGTGGGGTCTCACCAGAGCAGAG